AGACAGTCATCTTAATTACATAAATTCTATCCAGAAAAGATAATTGCAATTTATCTCATATTAATAGGTCTTTTTTATATCATTCCATACAGGTACAAAGTTTGAAACAATTTAGAATTTGTATTTGTCAGTGTAACCCAAGATATTTCATCCTTTTCTCTACTTGAAGCTCGATGGTTTTTGTTAAGGTTTCATAGTCCTGAAAAGTCTTATTCTTAATAAGCATTTTGTTTTCTGATTTGATTTAAAGTTTGTTAAAGCTCCTAACTCATTTATTTTCTTTATCAAGTATTCTGTATCAGCTTTTGGATCCTGCAAAAATATGACTAGATACTTGAAAGGATTGATGAATAAGTCAACATTTATTGGGAGTGGGACAGATAACTTGCAGTATACAGTACAATAAATATTTATATTTCATTCCAATGGATGTGGCTCAGAACCAATTGATGGCCTCACTGGGCATTCTTCTCTGATGAAAATAGCTGTTACCATGGAAGTAGCTTCCATTAGTTTACTCACAAATGCTTTGCCCCCCAAAAGGTCTTTTAATTCACACTTTCAATCTAGCTGTTTCAGCTTATTGAAAACAATGGGAGTAGTAAACTACTCTAATGGAATACAAGATCCAGTAACTCTTCATCACCGTCTGTACAGGGAAAGTGCAGTAAAAGGAGAAGTGTCGCTAATTTCTTCATTTATCTTGCAAAAAATGTTTTACATATACAGAACCACTTTAACCCTCCTTCTGTGAGCAAATAGCTGATTAACATGTCTTTCATGATATTAGCTAAAACATTTTGGTAGCTATGATATAGTCCCTTTCCCTATGACAGCCTTCCTTCCTTCTTTCCTTCCTTCCTTCTTTCCTTCCTTCCTTCTTTCCTTCCTTCCTTCCTTTTCCCTCGCACCCAACGTCTCTTTTTAAAATATATTTTGCTTGCTGCTTTTCTAATTTGTGATTTTGGGGAATACGTTTTTTCTGCTTCTTTTCTGCTTTTTATTGTTCTAAACTTGTAAGAAAATTGCTTTTAAAAAGTCCATATTCAGTGGTCAAAATTGCCCTTAATTTGGCCTTCTGGAACAGTGAATCCCCTTGAAATATTTATGGCTACAGATTTCTGGTACAGGTATAGTAATACTGGTGCTTTGGTGAACTGAACAATTATTGGGAGGACTGTTACACTTTCACCATTCTCAGTCTTTTTATGCTATACTGTGATAATGAAGAAGCTTCATTTGGACATAATGCAACATATGGTTTAGTAGCGTGAACAAAAAGTAATAGTGTGTGTGCTCTTTACTTTTCTACTCTTGCAGAGGTCACTAGCAGAGACCAGAAGCTTTGCTTCCTTTTGTGACTAACTGCATTTTACTGTTATGGATGAACAATGACCTAGTCCAGCCAGTGAAATTGTGGCTTGACTTTTTTGTCTTGTAATGCAGAGGTGGTGAAACAGTGAGCCGTGCTTCCCACCCATACCCACCCAGGGATTATGAGTAAATTTGGAGTGGGGGGTATAAATTTCTTTTCCTTTCTTTTTTAACTTTTATTGAATAAACATTAAAACAGTTTAACGCAGTGCGACTTTCCCGGCAGTTATTTTGCCATACATGCTAAAACATAAAACCACATATAACAATTAATCTCTTCCTTATTCTACATCACTAAGTTGGTGCTATTTACATACATACATACATACATACATACATACATACATATATATATATATATATATTCCTATTTACAACATAGTTCCCTTGCATGTTCTTATATAGTTGTTATATCCACTTGATTACATTGTCTTTATCTTTGAAAATGTCCACCTTCAGTCTTATAAAGCGTCACAATCTTTTTGTTGTTGTTATTCTGACTTCTTTTCTTCAATCTAACCATTGATACATTTTGTTCCAGACCGTAATATTCTGTCTCACTCTTATCTTTAATTTCTAGTGTTAGCCTGTCCATCTCTGCACAGGCCAACATTTTCTTTATTATTTCACTTTCCTCAGGGTTATAAATTTCTGAATTCATAGTTGGTCCACCTAGGAAGAAGGCTTTAGCAGCAGCTTTCAACCTAATCTATTAATTTCCAGACATGGAGAGGCGTTCAGATCTCCCCATCCTCAACCAGATGACAGGGGTGTTGTGGGTTGGCATATCTCAGGCTTCTAGAATGCAATGCAAAAAACATCACACAATTAGAGATGGCTTAATCCTTCTAGCAATTATAAATATCCCTATAATTTGTGGTTGTTACAGTTATTACTACTTTTGGTATTGCCGTTGCTATTATCATTGGCATGATTGACACACATTTGCATGGCACCATAAGGTCTGAGAACCCTGGGTTTAGTACAAGAGATTGTAACTATTTCAGAATTGAAGAACCTTTTCCTGACATTGATTTAAATTAAAATTTATAACAAAAAAATTTATACCACTAATATAATTGCGCCCTATGTTTATACTTTCTGTCTTTTGTCACATTATAAAACCAAGAATTCAGTACCAATTTTATAGGACATCTTCTTGGGCCTGCATTACAAATACTGGGAACAATATACAGGTAGTCCTTGACTTATGACCACAGTTGGGACCAGAATTTTGATGGCTAAGTGAATTGGTTGTTAAGTGAGGCGTCACATGACCAGACCTGATTTTACAACCATTTTTGCTATGGTCATTAATTGATTTATGTAGTTGTTAAGTGAATTTAGCTTCCCTCATTGACTTTGCTTGTCAGAAGCCAGTTGGGCAGGTCTCAGATCATGTTCACATGACAGCAAGACATTGCAACCATTGTAAATGCAACCAGTTGCCAAGTCCTTGAATTGCAGTCATGGAACCACAGGAATGGTACAACAGTTGTAACTTCGAGGACAGGTCTTAAGTCACATTTTCCAAGGCTGTCATAACTTTGCATCATTGTTAAATGAACAATTGCAACTCATTGATTACCTACTGTATATAACCTTGGGGATTAAAATTATACACTGGAGCTCATTAGAGAAGACATTTATGTTTATAAAGCTGGTTTGATCCTCTAAGCCATATTTAACCACTGGTTAACTACAAGTTTGGTTTGAGACTTAAGTAAATATAAAATGCAGCTAATTGAAAATGAAATTGCTTCCAGTCTTGCATGGGAGAATTGATGCTCTATGTGTGCCTAAAACTTTTGTGGATAATGCTAAACTATGACTTTATTTTAGTTACAGTCTGAAGTAGATCATTGTAAAATTACATGATAGCTGTGATATAATGATCTGTTTTTAGTTGTCATTGGAACTCTCGATGATGGGAACATCATTACTGAAAGACTGCACTGTTATTTCAACACATGATTCAGGATCCTAGAATGGCATTGTTTAAGTTTAATGTTATGTTATTGTCCCTTGGTGTGTCTGTTGTGATTCACAAAACTTTTAAGCATTTTTACTGCCCTTCTAAAATAAATTTAAATAATATATTTTGATTATCTGACCTGAACATAGTGCCCTTCTACTGGAGTCATATGCATAACCCATTGGATGTATATCTGACAAAGCAATAAAACTGTGTCATACCAAAATTTGTCCTACAATTTTGGAAGAACCTTCAGGTTTGATATCTATTTTTCAGAGTCCTTTAAAATTCCCTTAGAATTGGTTTGCATGGCCTTTTTTGAATTTTATTGCTGCAAAAATGGCAGATCATACCAGCAATTCTCCCTTTCCCTCAACTTCATGGAATCTCTGTCATTCTGAAGCCACCCTAGTTGTCCACATTTCTGACAGAAAATGTCCCCATGAGAGAAGCGCCTTCATCCTATCTTCCACATTTGGGATTTAATTGGGACAAGGGAAGCTGGCAGGGTTGTGGACCATTGGATAAATGATCATACACTGAAAAATAAAATGCTTATAAGCATCTCTTTGTCACTTTGTAAAGTCAGTGCAAGAATTCTAAGACGTACCCAGGAGGATCTCGTCAACATTTCTTAAAAAAAAAAAAGATTTCCCCCCCATCAAATTGAATGATTATTATTGAAGATCATACATATCAGAAAATACTTCCTCAAATTTCCCTATCATTTCAGGTTCAGAAGTTTCTGAATATTTGTTATGGAGAAATAGTCATAGAAGAATACTCTTCTTTGTAGACTTCCAAGGAGTCTCTGTGGAAAACAATGGTAGAAAGAATTTTCAACTGATCAAGCAGGGCTTTTATACAAAGGAAAGGATATCTTTTTCTTTTATTTTATTTTTTAAATTAGGAATATCCATATTTCTTTAAAGGGGGAGGAGAAGATGAACTATATCAAAACATATCTTAGTGATGGTTTATATTTACCTGTGCATTTTATACATTGGTTATAGATCTTAATGCATGTGTGAACTTGCGTAGGACAGCATATTTCATCAATATTTGGAATGAGATAATTAAAATCTTAGAATCAACATATTGTTCATCTTGTTTCGGAAGCTGAGTGCTGAAAATCTATTTTCCAGAAGAGGTATTGAAGGGAAAGGTAGTGGGATCATTAGTGTCACTTGATTTAAAAAGCTCATATTTTCTGTGAGTTTTCATTCAAGAATCTTCTAGTGATTGTTTTTCTTCATCTGTTTCATCTGTGACATCTGAGGAGACATCTGCCACTGCCCCATCTTAATTCATGGATAAGTGCTCTGCTCATTTGGCTAGAAAGACTGAATGGATCCAAAAATCATGTGCCACTTTGGCTGCCCCCCTCCTCCCAATTTTATCTTGCAGCCAGTTCATAGATAATTTCAAGTTATTCAGGTAATATTGATGGTCTGTGCAATGTATTTTAAGAAACTCCACAGTAAGAGAACCATTGGCTGAGAAACACTCAGTACTACAAGAGGAAGCTTGAGGTGATAACTGATGGCATGGGTGCCATGAGAAATGGCACAGGAGAAATAGAAACAAAGGGGGCTTCATAGGACATTGCTCTCAGGGAAGTGGAAGTAACGAAATTGTTCATATCACTGATGCAAAAACCCATTTTTTTGCAGCTCCTTGAGATGTGTATGAAGAATTGTGGGCCGAGTTTCCAGTCTCTGATAGTGAAACGAGATTTTTGCAAAGATAGGCTAGTAAAATTGTTGAATCCAAAATTTAACTTACCAGTGGATTTGCAGGAGAAAATTTTGACCTTTATCATGGTAAGTTTTTTTTCCTTATTTCCTTTTTGTTCCCTCGATGAAATACACGTAATCAATGTTTCATAATAGCTGTGCTATGCTGCCTGGGAAGGGAGTGGATGAAAAAGAGTTTCCTTTTCTTCTCCTTGAAGCTCTGTATGGAGAACAGAAATTGCAGAAAAGGATAGAGAACCTGTTGCCCTGGTTTTCAAATGATTCCTTTGTTAGTTGCATAAACTTCCATAACTGCTCATACGGAGAAACCACATGGCAATCGTTCTGTATTCTTTCTCTTCTTAAGAAAAAAGTTACTTTCCCAGTCAGCAAATAAAAGAAGTGTTTCTGACAGGAAAGCTGGAGTTTTTCTTTGCTGTTGGTTATCATGGGATCATGCTGAATCATAAATTCACTTCTACATCTGAGTGGGCCAAAACAGAAATAAGAAACCTTCATGTCTCATTTTAGCCTTCAGTTTCCAGAAGCCAATGGCAATGGGTTATGGAAGTTGTGATCCAAAACATCCAGAAACATCAGTTTGCTTATCTAAGGTATAAATTTTACACTTTCACAAAACCATTTCAGTAGGTAGAGGAGTCGTTCTAACTGTTTAACAACTCTCAGAAATACTTGTATCAAGCATCCATTGAGAATCAGCGATTAGAATATCATTTTATTCTAGATGGCCAGTAAAGCTGGAAAGATCTGTGAAAGTAAGAAATAAAGTCAGCCTTACCTTCACAGAACTTTCCAGCTTTACTAGCCATCAAGAATAAAATGATATTCTAATCTCCGATCCTGAATAAATGGTTGATACCACTATTTCTGAGAGTTGCTAAACAGTTAGAATGACTCCTCTATCTACTGAAATTGTTGTATGATAGTGCTTCCATGAGATAAAAGATAAAATTTAGCATGTCCTTTTATACAACTAGTAATTCCCCTCCCCCTCATGATGTTGAAAGCTAACCTGTCACATAGAGGAATAAACATTCACAAGTTTGCTGAATATGAGAAACACCAGCTTTGAGAAGAACAAAAGAAGGATCGAAGGCTCCATCTAATGTATTGTCCTGCCCGTGCTGCCTGTGGATATGAAATGGCATTTTGCCTCTCAACAGAGGCATTGTATGAAGACATTGTATGTTCAGAGCTGTCAAACTCGATTTCATTGAGGGATGTATTTGACCTCAGGGATCAGGAATGTATTTGACCTCAAGGGGGTGTGGCCAGCTCAATGTCACTCGTGTGATCAAATGCCACTTTTGCTAGTAGCTTGTTTTGCTAGCACTCTGCCAGCAAAAATGGAGCTCATGAGGATTTTGTGCGCTGCCCTCCCGGATTCCGTTTTTGCTGGCAGAGGGCTGCAGGAAGCCGTCGCAGTTGAAAACGAAGCCCAGAAGGGCTGCACATGGCCCTTACGAGCTCCATTTTTGCTGGCAGGGGCACCACAGGCCAGTCCTTCGCTATTTTCAGGGTGGCCCCATAGGCAGATCTAAGCACCCCACAGGCCGCAAGCCTTGAGTTTGACACCCTGCTATAGTTCTTTCCACATTACAAATCAGTTTAATGGGATGACCCCTAGTGCAATAGCAGTAGCACTTAGACTTATATACCACTTTATAGTGCTTTACAGCCCTCTCTAAGAGCTCTACAGAATCAGCCTATTGCCCCCAACAATTTGGGTCCTCATTTTTACCCACCCTGGAAGGATGGAAGGCTGAGTCAACCTTGGGATTCGATCTGCCAAATAGCAGAAGTAGCTTGCAGTACTGCAAGAATCAGGAAAACATCTGCAGAATGTATATAACCTCCTCTCTTTGGCAATCCCTTTTTAAAGTTAAATCTTGTCTTTTTGTGTGTGTTTTCCAATTTAGCAATTTATGGCCTGTGGGTTGGATATGGCCTGCCACCTGAAAATAATCCAGCCTGTAGCCTCAAAATAAGTATATTTACCTGGCCTACAAAAGAGAGGGAGAAAAATGAAAGGCTCTTTTTCAAGCCCTTATCACCATCCTGGGTGACTATTTTGATGACAGCTTCACCAGTCTCCTTTGCATAGGCAACATAGCAAGTTCCCTGTCCAGTTCCAATGCTGTGGTAAGGGGGAGAAAATGGCAATGATGTTGCCTTTTGCTGTATGTGGGAAAAAGAGAGTCCCTGTTCTGAATTATCCATGTGGAGAAATTTGAGAGATCTTCATTAAATAATTTGGTCATATTTTTTTTCTGAACCTTTTATTTGGTTTTAATACATAGACATCTCTTAATGTTTCTAAAATGGTTCCATTGCAATACCAAGGAATTACTTTGCTCCATCTTGGTCTGTCCGTGTACTGATTCAGCAAGATAGGAGAGGAGAATTTGATGCTTCAGATTCTTTTCTAATACGGCCTCATTCCTCTGAAAGTCTTTGAAAGAAATAGTTGTTATCCAGTTTCTGGCCCAAAATGGCAGTTATCAGGTTTTGAAGGGGGTTTAATTGGATTCAGGAACTGTAATCTTTTTCACAAACAGACCTGGGCCAGGGGGTTTCAGAATGCTGTGGATGTGAGTGAAGTCAAGGAGGTTTATCTGGAGCTTCTCAAGAAAGGAGTTGAATTTCCATCCTCAGAGATCAACAGGAGAACCACTAAGGTAAATACTTCATTGGGAGCTGCTGATTTGAAACAAGTTCGGCAAGTTGCAAAGATTGGCACGTGCAGAGGTGGTGTGTTAATTAACTCAGTAATGTGTATTTGGCACAGTGATTTCCTTTGCTTATGAAACCAGTCATATGTTTCTGTCTTGGAGCTTTAAAAAAAATCTAAGAGGAGGAGGAATAGTTTAAAACTATTTCTTAAACAGGAAATGTAGAGGTTAAATCTGCCCACGGAATCCTAGTAACCCAGGTTTCTTCCTCAGGATAAAGGAAATTAAGTGTCTGGTTTACCTTGAAGGCTTTGCAAAATTCCACAAAGATGTAAACAAAACCGAACACTTGCACAAAAAACACAATATATCTTTTGAAATCAGAAAATGAGTTTAAATAATTTTATTATTATTATTTCTAATGTATACCTTAAAAGTACAGGGAATTTTACTTCCCAGAATTCATAATGATGAGTATATAGATAGATTTGATTAGTTAATGAATCCCACAAAATGATTGCTTTATTCAAATTTGCAGTATTCAAAGTGATATTTCCATGGAAAAGGTGGTAATTAGTTTGACCAAAGTAGGCAATGAAAACTTTTTAGCATAATGTTTATATGTATACTAATGAAATATTACAGTCACAGTAAAGCATTGTATCTCAACTTGGCAACGTTAAGATGTCTGGAATTTGGGAAGGACGGGCGGGTTGAAGTCCAGACATCTTAACATTGCTAAGGTTGAGAAACACTGCAGTCAGTGGTGAGATTCAAATATTTTTACCACCGGTTCAGTGGGCGTGGCTTGGTGGGCGTGCTTTGCGTGCATGCACACACTTTGCATGTGCGCGCGTGCCAAACATGCACTTTGCGCAGGCTCAGAAGCGTTTTAACTCACCTCCTGCAAGCCTGCACGATTCCGGTCGCTTCAGCAGCTGCCGCACAGCACTCTTCTGTGCCGCGCAAAGAAGCTGTGCTTCATATTCAGAGGTTAAAGGTGAGTATGGGAGCCCGGGCGGGTGGGTGGGCCCAACAGCAGAGCGGCGGAGAAAACAGGTTTGGTCTCCTCTGCTCATCGCTGCTACTGGCTCGGCAGAACCGGGCCGAAGCGGTAGAATACCACCACTGACTGCAATAAATAATAAAAGAATATACTTTTAATTTAAATTTATGGTTAAGAAAGTCACAGAGTAGTTATAGGAAGCCAAAAAAAAAATCTACTGTAGATTTAGACATTCCAATATCTCATCCTAATTTAGCATTGCTATGATCACGTTCATGCTGTTCGCTTACATCAGACAGTTGCTCTAATATAATATGAACATTTTTTTTATTTTTGTACTTTTTTTCTGATGGAGTCTTTCTTTTATCCATTTTGTCCATCTAAAGCTGCAACTCTGCATGCACAAGTCTCAATCCTGTATTTGATAGCTTTGCATTAATTAAGTTTTGGATCACATTAAATGTGACCTGGTATCAATTTACAATTTGCACTAAATCAAATATTCCATTATTTTAACTCATTCTAATTGCAACCTCCCTGTATGCTCACTCTAAGCTACCTTAGTGAATAGTATTCATTTCATATAACTGGACTGTTGCTAGTTTTTTCATTACAAGTACTGCATATTTTTCAACCTAACTCTGAAATTTATAGATTATAAACATTACATAAGTCTACTATTACTTAGTTACTGTTGGGACTTAGAAGGACCAAATAAGGGATCAGTCCTTGAGATCAGTTGATTTCTGACAGTTGTTTAAAGACATCAAGAGATTGGATTTTAAATATGATGTATCTATAACAATCACTAAATGACTGGTCATATATTGAGGTCTATCTGTATATTAAGTCTCATAACTGAGAGGAAAAAATTAAGACTCTTGCCATTGAATTTAGGGATAAAATAAAAATGAAAGTATGATTGAAAGTTTAAAAGCATTCTAAATATATTTGCACGTGGATACCAACATAAATAGGTGATATAAAAGTGTGGCCTCTTTGAAGTACCTTCCACATTTAAATGTTGAAAATCTCCTAATTATATCCACAGCCTTTGTCTACAAGGATGTCTTATAATTCCTCCCAGAAGTGCGTTTCAAAACCCCTCTCCCCAGCTGCAGTAATAACACTGATTCCTGAGCAGGTATGATCTGTTCCTTCAAATATTTTACAAAGTAACCCTCATCATCCTAAAACTCTCAGTTAGATTTGAACAAGAGTGTAGGTTTGTAGTTTATCACTTGTTGTCTTATCAATACATTTTAATTGATAGGTGACTGATGGGACAGGCTACCCCCACCTAGCTGGAAAAGTGAGAAGAGAAGGAACATTCTTCTCCTTATAAGCCAATAAGAAAATGTTCGGATATAAATGTTGATTTAAAAAAAAAAAAAGAGCACAGACCACAACGGGCCCATTTATTTTGAACTAGCTTGATATCCATGCTTCACTACGAAACTATGTAGTTGGGCTTAGTTTTGGGGGAGGAAAATAAGGGGGGAAAAAATCTCCCTCTGCCTACCAGCATCCATCGGTATTCAACTGGCTAGCATCCTGTCAGTGTATGAGAGGGTTGAGGGCTGTTTGGAAACTGAAACAGTATTTGCTGTGAGCAAGGAGACAGCAAGGAGCCTGGGTGTGGCTTAGCTCAACTGTTCTGCACTAAAACTGCTTGGTGCTGTGAAAGTAAAATTGAAACTGAAACTCCTCTGCTTGTGTTTTGCATTTGGAACAGATTTCTTTTCAGGTGGGGAGGGGGAGCAGAACTCCTTAGCATCAGAGCATGTTAATAATAATATACAAAATACTAATGCTCTGATGGTCATTTTGAAAAATCCTTTCTTAGTAGCACCTAGAAGCCAAGAGGAACATATGTGCCAAATGTCAAGTTTGTAGACTTTACAGTTCTGGAAATTTTGTGATGATACATGAGTGGTGTTTCGCTTTTATATATAAAGATTGAATCTTATGCTTTTCAACAGGTTGGAAAGCTCTACAGTGAACTGGACGTGGTAAAAATGAATGTCAGAGTCATGTCAGCAATATTGAAAGAAAATGTTCCTGGAGCAGAAAACCCAGATGATATGGCACTGCTACAGGTAGTATAACACAGGGTTTTTTGTTGTTGTTATTGTTGTTTCTGTTTTGTGCTGGAAGTGTAAATACTTCCTGCGCTACTGTCAAGCATAGTCGTTATACAGCAAGGGTCCCCAATGCCTGGGCTGCAGCTCACTACCAGGCCGCAGCCTGTTTGAAACCGGGATGTGGGAGAAGTGGGCAAGCACGCATGTGAAGCTTCAGCTCTGCTCACACAAACGGAGGACACTTGCATTCATGCATGAAGCTCCATTCACATGAATGGAGTTTCGGGTGCAAGTGCCTTCCATTCGCATAAGTAGAGCATAAGCACCCTCCTCTCAAGTGCTCTCCACTCACAAGTGTACCTTCATGTGCAAGCACAAATGCGTGCTGCTCATGTTAATGGAGCTTCATGCATGAACGCAAGCACCCTCCGCTTGCACGCAAAATTCAATTTGTGGAGTGGAAGGCATGTGTGCCTGCCACTCACAGGCCCTCCTCCCAACCAAGGCAGGCCAGGCTACCAAGCTAGAAAGGTTGGGGGGCACTGTTATACAGAAGTTTAGTAGGTGGCAAAAGTATGGGCAGCATATCACAAGTAAGAAATGCTCCAAGTAAGATTGCTCAGCTGGCTCCGGCAATTCCTCAGTTGCTCCCTGAATTCCCCAGAGTGTCGATTGTATGATCAAGAAGCATTCTGGGCACAGTGAGATATCTTTTCATCTAACTCTTTTCTTATTAATAAATAAGAGTCTGCCAAACGCAAGACTCCAAAATGTGAGGAGTATGAATGGAAGTCACAAGGAGGAGGCAAAATTTTCTTCTTAAAAAATTATAGCATCTATTTGGGTTCTATCCACTTTAAAAATGGCTATTTGTCTTACATTATTTCTAGTATAGGTACAGCCCTTGGCTTACAACCACATCTGGGACCAGAAATTCTGTTACTAAGCAATGCACTTGTTAAGTGAATTGTACCATATCTTATGACCTTTTTTGCCACTGTCATTAAGTGAATCACATTGTTGTTTAAGTGAATATAGCTTCCACCATTGATTTTGCTTGTTGGAAGTTTCCTTTGAAGGTTGCAGATGGTGATTACACGACCCAGGGATACTGCAACTGTCATAAATACATATCAGTTACCAGGCGCCTGAATTTTGATCACATGGTTTAGTGTAGCAGTTAAGGCTAGAAACTGGGAGACTGTGAATTCTAGTCCTGCCTTAGCCATGAAAGTTGATTGACTGGCTTCAGGCCCGTCTCTCTGTCTCAGCCCAACTCACCTCACAGGGTTGTTGTTGTGGGGAAAATAGGAGGAGGAAAGTGTGTTGGATATGTTTGCCACCTTGAATTATGCAACAGTCATAAGTTACTTTTTCAATGCCACTTTAACTTTAAATGGCATTAAACAAATGGCTGTCAGTCAAGGACTTTTTGTAAGCATTTGTAGTTGGCATGCTACCATTTTTCCATAGCGACAAGATTCCCACAGTTGACATCTCTCGAAGGCTCCATGGTAACCCCAACTGAGGAAAAGATGGGGCAGTGTTGCTAGAAACGAAATATCTGGGACAGTGATTGTCTAGCATACCTTCTCCCCCTTTATATATTCTTTTTAATTATATTCTCTTCTCCTTTGGATATCATCTTCTTTCTTTGTGAAACAGCAGTCTGTGAAAAGCAACCTATTATTTCCTAAAGTCTGGCTTGATCTTTTGTGGAAAATTGGGCCAAAAACTACTACTTGCCTATCCTTGATTTGTAGCATGGAAAATATTTTCCCTTTTGATAGTTTTTCATAAGGTAGATTTGTGTGGCAAATAATGAGATGAGGTATTTGGTAAAAAAAGACCAAGGTTACCTCATACTGTGAAATGGTAGGTCTGTAATTAGATAACATCACCATTCAAAACTGCTGTGGAAATATCAGCTCATGAAGAAACAGGAGTTAGACTAGGGAGCAATATGGTGTCTTCTTGTTTGTTTTTAATATGTCACAAGTTTCTGCAACAGAACCTAATTAATCTTTAAATGCCATAAGATTCTGTAGCATGACTGTCCCTCTGAGGCCTTTATGATATATGTGGTAGTCCTCCAGTGATTTCTGGATCACTATATTTATGATCATTATTGTGATCATAAATATGATCACTATATTTCTATGTTTGTTTCCTTTGTGCTAAGATCTATAGATCTAGCTAAGATCCATGCAGCCAAATTCTATGCATGCTTATTTGAGGATGCCTCTATATTCTGTGTACAACAGGATTCACTCCCTGTATCTCAGTGAGAAGTAAGATGTTATCCCAAGTCAGAAATGTTCAGAATGGCAGAATACCAAAAAAATAAGGTGAAAATGTTAAAGTGGGCATTAAATTAACATTGAATCCTTCAGAAGCAGAGTAGTCACATTTATTCTCCGACAAAGCGTCAAGGTGGAGTCTTCAAAGCATGTAACAACATTCAGTCTTCTGCTTATTTTCCTTACCCACTTTAAAAGAAACACAATTTTAATGCATCTCTTTCCACAACTGGAAAAATTAGAATCATGTTGCAACAATAATTTGGAGTCCAGTGGATCTTCAGTTTCCTTTTTCTTACAGTGGGGCCTCTGGCTTTCCAAAGATAGTTTTTACTACTAGAATTCTTTTTCTTCACAAGGAAATATGAACAATCCTACAGGCACTGAGGGAACTTCTTAGGGACTATAAGATTGCATGCTGAAACCTCTTATGTTTGTTTCCTGATGTCTGATGCTTCCTGCTGTGTTGATTCTACTTTTTCTATTTCTTTCTCCCACATCTTTTCTGAAGAAACTTAGCACATGCTTGAGTGAACGGAAAGCTGTATTTTGTAAAACAAACTTAGGAAGTTTCTTTTAATAATAAAACATTGCAAATGATATATAGGAAAGGTGTGAACATTCACTTTCCTTCACAGGAGCCTGTTTTTTCTAGAGGTAATGGCAACCATAGAGTAAGTGTGTGTTTTAGATAAAGGTTTTTCATTTCACAATCATTGGATGCAAAAAAGGGTAATGAAAGGAATAAAGTGATTAGAGCAATTTCCTTTTGTACTTCAATCGATTTCACTGACAAGAAAAGTAAGCCAATTGGGGTGTTATCTTCAAGTTTTCCCAAAATATGCACGATGAGGAAAATAATACTATGTTTGGTTTTCCTGTAATCTTACAATTTAAGTCTATCTATTTGTCTAGATTCCTGAAACAACATGTATCTATGCACACAAACACATATTCTAGATAAGTATTCAACCTCCATGTAACAAAATCTATAAAAAATACACTCACTGGAAAGTTAGAAGGTTCCTGTTCTAAGACCTGACTCATACAAATGTTAAATTGGTTTTAAAAAGCAAAAAATCCAAACCTTGGTTTTCTAAACAAGCTACTGTTTATATCCATATCAATCTATATTTTGAGTTTATTGTTAAGGCTCCCTCTCCTAAACATAATTTGGCTGTCATTGGAATTTGGTTGTCACACTTGCACCCAGTTAATTTATGACTTAGCATACTGACAAAACACATAACAGCTGGATTCTAAGCATAAAGCAAACAGTAGTAGAGCTTAGCATTATGTATGAACCAAGCCTATGTCTAAGTATTATGATCCCTCTCATGTCTCAGAGAGAAATTTATAAAATGGAACATAGATTTTATTAAATGTATGTTTAAAAGTGTACGCCAGCATACATGAATGAAATACATTCTAAATCGAGTCCTGCATGAATATCTCTTACAAAATTCATACTGTATTCCCTTCACACTCCCTTCCATATATAATTTTTACCTTTTATCTTAGAATTGGAGTAGAATGTGGGATTCAGCATAAATTTATTTTTAGTTTCTCAATACTTTTGATTAGCAAAACAAAACATTTTTGTCTCTGGCTTTCTTCCTTAAGAGGAACCATAGTGGCACAGTGGTTAGAATGTAGTATTGCAGATTAATTTTGCCTGCTGCTAGGAGTTCGATCCTGACCAGTCTTCTATTCTTCCGGGGTCAGTAAAATGAGGACCAAGATGGTTGGGGGCAATATGCTGACTCTGTAAACCACTTAAAGCAATGGTCCCCAACCTTTCTAGTAAAACAGACCAGCAGTAGTGGCAAGGCGGGGAGAGGATGCTTCATATGAGCATCCTAAATCCCATGCATGCACAAATAAAGCTTTACATACTTGCCCGCTGCTTGCATGGTCTGGTTCCCAACAGGTCTGCAGCCCATGGATTGGGGACTCCTGGCTTAGAGAGTATTGTAAAGCACTATGAAGCTGTATGTAAGTCTAAGTGTTATTGCTATTACTTCCATGTACTTTGGTGCTGCATCCTGCATGATGTTATCTAAACTATTTGCTGTATGGTTATAGTCACCAAAAGGGAGAGAGTCCTATGGTCATTTCTAAAAAGTTTTTTACTATGTTTTAAAATGTGACATGTTTCCTCCATTAAACACAAGATGATGGGTGGGGAGGATTAATAAATTAATGACATTTTTTAATGCCATGTGGATCTGTGCTTTTGATGTTTTCAACATTTTCAGTATCTCTTTATTTTTGCTATTCAAATATAAATAGTATACCTTTTCTCCCTTGGTAGAAGCTCTACAAAACAAGTCGGGCAATGCAAGATAGAATTATGGAATTGCTAGCAACTGTGGAGAATGAAGACGTGATTACTGAACTCATACAAATGAATGAAAATCTAAATAATGTCTTACTGGGACATGAAAGGTATTATTACTTAATGTCATATATGTAGTCTGTGCTAACAAATCGTTGTGCCTTTCTTCATGAACAGCATATCTCTTTATTTACTTTCTCCTTCTACCCAACAATGGGGTGAAGGAATGCTGGATCTTAAGTTAGGAACAGTTCATAGAAATAATAAATGAATAGGTTATGTTCTTTGTATTGGACAAGTATGAAGCCTAATAAATGGAGATGGAGTATAGAATAAACTTCAACCTTTTTCGAGAAGCATATCACAAGGAAGAAACAAATATGGCTCCTTACCAAAAGTTCAAATATCTATAAATAGGTTAAACTATCATACTATTTTCTTTGCTGAATTGCTTGTACAAATGACTATTAAAAAATGTCATCTGTAACTATAACACGATGTTCAGAGGCTGTAAGATGAATTGGATATCAGCTATCACACATTTAGTACAAATATCGTACACTCATTTAATCAAACCAAGGGTTGACCACTGATATAACTATGAAGATATAAACTCCCTTTGTTCTACTATTATGGAAGACTGGAATAGGATGTTAAGTACTACTGTGTGTATCATATTAAAAGCACTATATCAATAAAAATTGCTATACCCTTTCCCCTCCTATCAGAATACATGGAAATACTAGAGGGTTGTGGAACGCCTTTTGCAATGCAGGTAGTCCTTGCTTACCAAGCACTTGTTAAGTTGCCTTTTAAAGTTATGATAGCATTGAAAAAGAAGACTCCTGCTGGGCTCTCAAAGCTGCATCACAGTATCCTCACATCGACATGATCTCAATTTGGGCATTTGCAACCTCTGCATATTTACTGTGATTGCAGCATCCCGTGATCATGTTATCAGCAATTGTGACTTTCACAGCCAGCTTCTGACAAGCGAAGTCATTGGGGAAGCTGGTGGGAAGTCTTAAGTCATGTGACATTCTGTTCAATGAACCAGAGTTATTCTCTTTAACAATTGCAGAATTGACGTAAGTCGAGCAACACTCACGTGACATTTTACTCTATGACTTTGTAATGGAATTGCCAGTCCTAATTGCACTTCATAAGTGAAGACTGCCTGTATCAGAAAAAAAAGAACTTAGAATCTCAAGAGACTGAATTTACATCCAAACTGGAGTGCATTTAAATATAGCTTGAGATTTCCATCCAAGGCTGGTTGTAATATTCAACATTTTTAGCCTACAAAGTTTTCTTTTTCAGTTAGATTTGGAAGGTGGTTTGAGATTTATGAAGAAGATCAGTTACTCTGGGACATTATTGAGAGGCTGAGCAGACACTAATTGGCTGACTCATTTGTAAACGCAATTTCCTTTGAAATGGAGTTCAAATTGAAGAACAAAAGATTCTGGTTACATTTCAAAATAACAGTAAAAAGGGGTCTGCCCTGAAGTGTGAATGCAACTCTTGATAATAAGTATTTGTTATTAATATTTGTTACAAATACTAGGAAAGATACAAATACAAGGAAAACAAACTTTTATACAATTCAAACTGTGCATCTTTCACTCACCAGGAGATTCTGGTTGGTTGGTTGGTTGGTTGGTTGGTTGGTTGGTTGGTTTTGACAGAAGAAGCAACCAACATTTGTATGTGTTACTATAACAAGCACTTGCTTCTGCTAGGCTTCATATAACCTATAGGCAGGATAGTCATTTTACAGGGATTTCAGGGCAGTCTGTTACCAGAGGAAGGCACTGCATGACCAGTTTCCATCTATTTGGGACTCACTCCACATTATCCACCAGATATGTTTTCAGTTACCTTGATCATCAGGCGGCAGACACTATGTGATTGGTCTGTCCTATTTGGGAGCTTGTTGGTACAACCTTCCTTGTCTCTCAAGGTCTCATGTTCTATTCCTATCCTTAAGCCTTCAACCACAAGCCTAAAAAAATAGGTGAAATCAATCTGAAAAATTGCAGTTTTTGACAGGATTTAGGGATGGCTAAGAGCACAAGGCATCTGGGAGGTCTTCTTCCATCATTCCTGAATGAAAACAAATTAAAGTTTTAAATTGTTGTTGAATTCTGGCAGTTATTCTACTAGTTTTGGGTACCAGAATGTTGGGGTGCTGGGCAAGGCAGTATTGCAAGCAATTTGAGCACAACCAATTTCCCACCTTTGCTTTATAAGCTGTTTGTTGCTATCCAGGAGTGACATTACTATACTCTTCACTGTGACACTTGTGTCCCATATTCCAGAAAGCCTCTGTCATGGCCGCTAAGTATCCATGCATTCTGAATGTTTGTGCTGAAAATTCTCGGGGTTCTAGTTTGTTATGCCTCCTTCCACATTAAGAGATATACAGTGTAAGGCGGTTTCAGGAAGAATAGTTTCCAGAACTTTCTTTAACCAAGAGTTCTATGCCCTCAAAAAAAGAGCAGGAAGGTGGTACTCTGAAATCCTTGTTTTTCACTTTTGAGTCATCTGCTGCTTACAGGCGTACCTGGTATTGCACAATAGGAACAAAAGAGATTTATTTCAGTTGTTCCAGTAATACCTCTACAGTTTTGTTTCCTTATCACATCTGTGGCTTAATGGTGCTCAAGATTTGAATATGCTAAGTCATCCCAGACTCTCAAATATAAAAGGACAGGTACTGCATATAAATATGAAAGCTGCTATTAATCTCCATATTTATGTGTTTTATGTTAATTGATTATATTTATGTTAATTGATTACATATTTATGTGTTTTATGAAATTGATTATATTGACTACACTATTTTTATATAGGTTTTCTAGAAACAGAGTACGCTTCTGGGAGAATCAGAGAATCCAGAATGAAAGTGCAGCAGTAAGTAACTGATAGTCATTTCTACCAGTCTAGAACAACATTTTGTGGTTCATCCTAAAATTCAGAATATTTTTTCCTTCCGAAACTAGAAATGTTCACAGAATTAAGTTCACTGAGTTAAGCATGGTTTATTCTTTTGAAAGTTCTCATCTTCCTATCCTCACGATATTCTAGTTAGTAAAAAACAAAAGCATACAGGGAGGAGTGAGGATTTAGACAGTATGAATCCACTCTAAGCATGATAGGAATGAAGAGCTTCGAGAAACAGAAGAGGGAAAAAACATGTTGTGAACACAGGAAAGCAGCTACGGTATTATCATCTGCCTTATCTAAATCTCACCTGGCAGAAGACAATTCTCTTTTGTTCACTCATCTTCAGTGTACAGTAATCTTCTGGCTGGCATGGAGCCATATGTCATATTCAATATAATTTATGCTTATCAAATAACAGGTAACAAATGTAAAAAATGACCAAGATTTCTAAGGTGTTCTTAACTGGGCAGGAACCTTTGAAGGAAGTTAATTATTTCATTCTGGCTTTTGAGGTCATATTGGATACTTTTTAGTGGTCTTGGCCAATGAATGGATTGTCCTCAACAGGAAGGAGACAAGACGGATATGCCTCCATTGATCTTCTGAATTTATCAGCAATTTGTGGCATCCACAAATATGAGGACACGGTGAAATGGGGATTTTGTTTCTTGTGATTGTGTCCAAAAAGCCTGTAGAAACCTCATGTTTAACATCAGGAATTTCATAGAGACCATGCTTTTTTATATTTATTTGTTTTATTTTATTTTTGATGCTACCCAACTCCAGCTGACTCTAGGTGGCTTACAGGGTTAAAAACTTTTTAAAATAATACAAAAATAACAAATAAATAAGTACATAATCAAAATCAATCCCCTCTCCAAATTACAAAACAATTACAAAGTGACAAACCTATATATCTGAAACAGGTCCATCGACCCTACTCTGATGTCTGGAAGAATAGCCAGTTTTTCATCTAAAATCTCTAGAAGTGATAAGTGTTTTGGGTAGAGATATAGCACTGTGTTGCTGAGACCAAATATTATTCTTGTCATCTGAACAAGAGAAGTGTATGAAGATGATGAAACAATACCTGAAGGCTGTAACAGCTGAGAACCATGAATATGAATCCTACAAGATGGCTGTTCTTTAACTGATCCTTAGTTCCAAGAGTTAGAGGCATAGCCTGTTGTGCTGTCCCACACATTCATACATACATACATACATACATACATACATACATACATACACACATACACACACACACAGACACACTCACACACACCACGGTGTAAGGAGTCTTTATCAAGGCTTCCGAACCTGAATTGATATTCCCCAGCAATTCCCTGTGCCAGCACCGATTCAATCCCAACGAGTCTCTCAGGCTACTCAAATTAAGCCAACACTAGTCCTCAAGGCAAAGACAAATCCAGTCCACTAGGTTAAAGCGAGTTCCCAAGGCAAAGGCAAGTGCCAAGACCAAAGCAAATCCACAAGCAAAAGCAAGGCAAGGCAAAGGAAACAGCTGGAGACAGAGTCCTAAGTTCAAGGCAGAAACATACAAGAAGACAACAAATGTTGTTCCCAGCATCATCTCCATCTGTCTGCTGGGCTAAATAGCCAACTTCTGGTGCAGCCTGTCAAGAAGGGCAAGGCTGCCTCCTCGAGAATAATGTGACTGACCTTAGCTGCTCCTGCCTTTCCTCTGCCCTACCTGTTCTTGGATCAGGTGCAAAAGGCAGTTCCACTTTCTCATTGCTGACTGGCTGCAGCTGTATGCTTTCCCCACCTGAAGTCAAAGGGGTGTCCTACTGTGGCTGTGCTTCAGCCAAACCAGTCTCAGATGGCTACTTGGAGCCATTGACCAACTTCCTCCTAAGATGAATTAGAGATCCTTGTGTTAACCATCACAAAATCCTACATTACTTGGGAGCTGGATATCTGAAAGATTCCCTCAAGAAGAACCATAACAACTTGCCGGGGACCTTAAATCCTCCCATCTCATCATCATGTAGAAAAATATAGCAATCAGTTCTACCATGAATGTGCAGTGTTCTCTTCTGAGAGGTATTTCTAGGTCCAATTCAAAGTATTTTGAGCCCCAAGCTAGGACCTATTTGCTAGAAATTCATGAAAAGTGGACTTTGCTGTCCTGTTTTTTAAATTTTGTGTTGATTTGATCTACCCTTATTGAAGTAAGGGTGTTTGTTTTAGTGTTATTACCTTAAATGCACTATGGCTTATGTCAGGCGGGATGCAAATTGAATGAGTACAGTATGTAAATAATCACTGACTTCAAGAGATCCTCACTGCCTACAAGATGTGTTATTATTGATATTATTGCAGTTAGAGGTGTTTAATATGGGCTCAGAGGCAAAGTAGGCATCATGTCTAACAACTTTTGTTTAATTTTGAGGCCGCTGGCAACCAACCATCTGCTCCTTCCTGTGATTTGCTTGACCTTGAGTCATGTCTTCCTGCTGCTGTGCCAAAGCCTATGAGAACTGACCTTCCCCAGTCTTCTGAATTAAGTAAGTAAAATAGATAAACTCCAATATTTTAACAGAATTTTAGAAGCTATGTAAGGGGGGGAAAAACTTTGGATTCCACTTTGCAGATTTGTTTGAGGACTGTGCTAAGTGTAAACATATTTTTAAACATAATTTTAAATATGTTTCAGATAAAGGTGGTGGCTTATCTTCCTATCAGTATTTGGGATTGTTTCAAATGCATTTCAGCTACCAGAGAAATTCTGCTGACATTCAGAGCAGTAGCAGTAGGTAGGCTGGTTAGCTGAATTTCTTTAGAGGTTGTTGGTTTGGAGAAGTTCTGCCCTCTTCCTGGCATGGCAGCAAGAAGATAGATTGCTCTTGAAGTTGCACACAAAGGTGGCAGAAATTTTGACTGTTACACTGCTTAGCTATAGGCTTATGGGATGCCTATCCCAGTCTAACATGTCAAGTGTACAGGTAGTCCTTGACTTAACAACAGTTTGTTTAGTGACCATTTGAAGTTACATTGGCACTGGAAAAAAGTGACGTATGCTTTAGACCAATAGAGCATGGTCCCATGGTCATGTGAACAAAATTCAGACACTTGACAACTGACTCACATTTATGACAGCTGCAGTGTACCAGGGCCGTGTGATCACCTTTTGTGACCTTCTGACATGCAAAGTCAATGGGGAAGCCAGATTCACTTAACAACCATGCTACTAACTTAACTGCAGTGATTCACTTAACAACTGTGGAAAGGTGATAAAATGGTACAAAACTCAATTAACAACTGTCTCATTTAGCAGTAGAAATTTTGGGCTCAATTGTGGTCATGGGTTGAGGACTACCTATATTGATTACCATGTAGAAGGCAATAGCAATATCTATTATTAGTATCTCATATGCATTTAGTGTGTCTAAGAAAAATGTGCCTAAGAAAAGGCTAAATACTAAGCTCCTTAATAATATGTTTTTACCAAATGCTGGCCAAATTTGTTTCCTGTATTTGAATACATGCAGGAAAATTCTGCCATTCACAATTACTAACTTGCCTCCCTTCAGATTATCCGCCCCAAAGTGTGGATGCTCCATATCCTCATTCAGCTGTGCCATCAATATACCCTCAAATAAACTCACTTGGTTTTGCGAATGCTTCACAGTCTTTGTAAGTAAGCAATGTTTAAAGTCATGTAAACATTTAGACAACCTTTGACACTTCATTAAGATCTCATCATTGGAAGTTTATCCAATAATTAGCTAGGCTTGTAGCAGATTTGATTTTCATTAATCCTTCATTTTAAAAGCTAATTTATGTAAAGTCATATAGCTATTGCAAATGAAGCAACAGACTAAGAAGCATAACATTGACTAATAAATTAGCAATAGCACTTAAGACTCATATACCACTTCACAGTGCTTTATAGCTCTAAGCTGTTTACAGAGTAAGCCTATTACCCCCAACAATCTGGTTCCTCATTTTACCGACCTCGGAAGAATGGAAAGCTGAGTCAATCCTGAACCTGGTGAGATTTGAACCGCCAAATTGCAGGCAGGCAGCAGTTAACAGAAGTAGCCTATAGTACTGCATTCTAACCACAGTGCCACTGTGGCTCTTCTAAACAGCTGAATAGTTAATTGCCCTGTTTTGGGCACAGAGGGAAAGCCATCATATTGCATTCTATTTCTATTGTATTTTGTTGGTGGATTCCAATGCACTGTTTTTCCTTTTAAAGATTCCCAACAGAAGCACAAAGGACATCCCAGGTGATCCCAAATGATTCAATGTATGTCAACGTGAGTATCAAACTGTGTCCTGGTTTCTTTGTTTATTAAATTAATTATTTGCTGCCTATTTCACCTTGGGCTACTCTAGGTGGCTTACAACAATAAAAATGGAGAAATGAAAAGAAAATGTAAATAAGACAGTAGCAACAGAGGTGATATTCAGCAGGTTCTGACCAGTTCTGGAGAACCGGTAGCAGAAATTTTGAGTAGTCTGGAGAGCCGGCAAATACCACCTCTGACTTGCAACGCCCCCATCTATTTTCTGCCTCCCGAGTCCCAAGCTGATCGGCTTGGTCTTCTTTTGTTGCCCTGCACAGGAGAACGGAGCTGGAAAGCAGGTTAGTGGGGTGGGAAGGGAATGGGGATTTTGCAATAACCTTCCCCTGCCATGCCCACCAAGGCATGCCCACCAAGCCACACCCCACCCACCAAGCCACGCCCACAGAACCGGTATTAAAAAAAAAATTGAATCCCATCAGAGTAGCAAAGTAATGGAATAATAGAATAAACAATGAAAAAGAAAATGAGAATACAGCAATATAAGAACAAAAGATGGCCAGGTAGGGAAGCAGGGGGGCAAGAGGATTTTTACTCTCGGTCTAGTAGCCACCTCCAGTGTGGTAGTCCCCCATTTGGTCCCCAACCAGCCAGAAGAGTCAGGTTTTCAGGCTCTTATGGAAGGATAGAAGGCTGGAGGCAGATCTCACCTTTAATGGTAGGATGTTCGAAAGACCATGTCCAAGGCGGAGAAGGCCCTTCTCCTGGATCCCGCCAGTCAGAGTTCTTTGATCGAAGGGATCTGCAGTAGGCCCACTCTGCCAGCACAAGTGGGGCAGACTTGTCCTAGCAGGACATGATGGTTCATCAGACCTATGCCATTAAGGGCTTTAAAGGTCATAACCAACACCTTGAACTGCACCCAGAAGCAGATGGGTAGCCAGTACGGTTTGTGGGACAGAAGGGTAAGGCAGGCCATTCTAGGGATGCACAAAGATTGCTCTTGTTCTCACTTTGAACCAGCTGAAGCTTCTGAAGGGATTTCAAGAGTTGCCTCATGTAGAGCATATTACAGTAGTCCAGATAATAGATGACCAGCCTTGAGTCACTGAGTGAAGGGACTCGTGATCCAGGAAAGGTTGTAGCTGGTGCACTAACCAGAGCTATGTAAAAGTTCTCCTAGTCATACCCGTCTCCTGCTCTTCAAGTTTAGTCTTAAAATTCTTCGAGTTTAGTCACAAGCATTAGAAAAACTGTAAACATTTTAGCTGTATTCACTCTTTTGTAAACTATGATTTATAGGTTAGTGACAGTGGTGGTATTCAGCAGGTTCTAACCAGTTCTGGAGAACCGGTAGCAGAAATTTTGAGTAGTTCGCAGAACCAGCAAATACCACCTCTGGCTGGAGATTTTACAGTATCCTTCCCCTGCCACACCCACCAAGCCATGCCCACAGACCCAGTAGTAAAAAAAATTGAATCCCACCACTGGTTAGTGAGTTGTGTCAACACACCCACTAAACGTGCACTGCGGAAGAGAAATTATCCCTAACTTTTTCAGATCGTTGCTAAGGATTCCTAATCCCTAGAGATCAGTTGTAGCCAAGAAATACGAAAAGGTGCCTTAGGCTGAGTTTATTTCCTCAGTGCTCATTGTTTTGTAACCAGCATATATCACATGAATGCAGGTACAAATAAAATTTTAAAAAATCACCAGGCTGGAGTTGAATTTTTTAAAAATGTATTGTCCAGGATGCAGAGTCTGGGAAGTCTGATTCCGTAAACCAAATGCAGAATGTTTTGAATTCTACTGGGTTAATTCCATGGGGTTAATGCAATCTAAACAATCCTGTGGATCTTTTCTAAATGATTTATTCGATGCCATTTAATTTATAGAGAACTAACAAAAAGCTGACTTAATGTACTGTTTATATTAATAGTATCCTTAATTGTTTTTATTATAACCTTATGTGGTACAGACAAAAAAGAATGAACCACCTTGTTATGCTAAACCATTTTTTACCAATGCACCTTCCTGCATATCTGATTTAATTCACTTAATTTCCTTAGGTAAACACATGTTTAAATCCAGAGCCCTTGCATGCAGTAAACCATTTAAGTAATGGTACAGGAAATACACCACCAGGAGGTAAGTTTTTATTATTGCAATTAGAGTTTGCAGTTGCATTATTATAATTACAAGACTATAGATAATTGTAATCGAGCCCAAAATTACAATCGTAATTCATAGTGGTCATTAAGCAGGTCACGACATGACTGCAGCTGATTTATGAATTTTTTTGCAGCAGTTGTTAAGCAAACACTACACTTGTTAACCAAACCTGTTTTACTCAATGAATGTTTTTTTGCCAGAAACTAAAATTCAATGCTGGTTTCCAGCAAAACTGCCCAAAATCACAATCGTATGACCGTGGGATGTTGCAAACAGTCATAAATGCAAGCTGGTTGTCAAGCATTCAAAATGCAATCATGTGACTGCATGTGGGGCATGGTTATCGGAACTCCAGAACTGGGTTATAAGTTCTGGGGAGGTTCTTTGTAATCTTGAATGGCTGCCAAGTGACCAGTAGGTTCACTTTGAATGATTTTCATTTAGAGGGCATATGTATTGGAAAAGCAAGTTCACATCATTGCCAGAGGAATTAACTGTGTTGTTTTAAGTCCATCCATCTGTCACTCTGTCTAATAGCCTGCCTCACGTTCAGGAGTTCAAGATGTACATAGCCCTCCCCGCTCCCATTTCCCCTGACAATAACAACTCTGAGAGTAGATTGAGCAGAGAGAGAGAGCAATTGCACAAAATCAACTAGTCAGCTTCTATGGATGAGTTTGGACCTGTATCTCATAATTCCTAGTTCAATTTTTTCACCGCTATACATATGTGAAGATGGGGCAGGAAGGCAGTAGCAATTGCTCTGTATTCTCCTGGTATTTTATTTAAAAAGTGAGTTCAAGTGTATAGTCTGCTCACTCCTGAACTTTTACTGCTGGGAGAAAATGTTACCCAGATCCTATTCCTTTCACATTCCGTTCCATATATAATGTTTACTTTTTCTCTTAGAATTGGAGTAGAATATAGGATTCAATATACATTTATTTTTGGTTCCTTGATACATTTGATTAGCAAAATAAAACTTTTTTTTTTTTGTCTCTGGCTTGCTTTTTCCAGACATATCAAAAGCCAACCCACATCCTCCTAATTATTATGAACTAATGGAATTTGACCCTTTGGCCCCTTCTGACCCAACCAAGTAAGTGATTGTCAAAATGACTCAATTGTTGCTTATTTCTTGTCTTAATAGTCCAGGCCAACACAGACATCTTTTCTTATACAAGCACAGCAAAAATATTATATTGTACATATTTTAAATCATTAGTGATAGCCACTAAAATCGAACAGCCACACAGATTTAATGTTTCTTTGTTTCATGTTACTGAATTGCATCTAATAGTACCCACTAGTGTGATATCTCTTTTGCCATTCCCCCCAACTTTCTTACCAGATACTGTATGGGGGACCACAGAAAAAAGTTTTGCTGAATGAGCAAAATGTTTATGTGATACTGCATTTTTACCATTATAACAATATTTATATACACTATTCACTTTGGGAAGAGAAGCAAGCATCATTAATGAAAAGCATAGAACAGGCTGAGTGTTAACAGCCAGTAGCTTGAAGGGTGAAATGTCTATGCTGGCCTCCAAAGTGGTGCCTTTCTCCAAGATAGAACAGAGTAGAACATGTAAAAGATTCAAACTCCACAAAGGAGCAAACACTTCAGCCATATATAGCTGAGAAGAAAATGCAGAACTACATCCATTCATCACCACATGGTGAGTGATGAAAGAGTGAGAGAGACAGCAAAAGGAGAAAGATAAGTTCACAAGATTACTGGAGAATATTTAAGGCCATCAAGACTGGGACTAGGCCTGGGTTGTCAGAAAGTATAAATAAGAATCTGAATTCCCACATAGGTTGTTTAAAACAGCCTACAGTCTATTCACGTCAAATTCCATAGCTCAGTATCACTTATCCCAAAGAACCTGACCCTTGCATTGTAATCACGGTAACTTCTCATCTTCCCTTTTTGGGTCCATAAAAAGTGACCTCTGGTGTTCATTATACTCATTTTTCTGTTCAGTGTTATATGTTTTTATCCTCTCGCAGTTCTCAAATGCACATGTATATTTCTTGTCATATGACCTCAAAATGTTTGAGGAAATCCCACCATAGCTGTACACCGTACTTGATAAGTTAAAATATCCTATTCACTAAGCCTACGGATCTGCAAAAAGAAAAGGAAATTGAGAACACTAAACTAAGCACTATATAAAGTTATGGATTGAGAGGCAAGTTCATTGCCATTGATAGAAACTAGATTGTTGTTTACCCATAGAGAAAGGTGGGGAAATTTATTTTTATCCTGAGCTGGCAGCCCAGTTCTACATACTGCAGTGTCTCAGAGGTCTCCATAGTCTGTCAAAGCTGTATTTCAGAGGGAAGATGAAAATAATCTATTCCACCTATTGTGAGCAAAATAATTAGACAACTAAGGGAAGGGATATGAATTTGCCTTCCTGATGAGCCTAATGGTTAGGAATTGTGTCAGGTATCATAGGAGTATTGTTTGTCAAATACGTAAGATAAGTGCATCTGAATCACAAATTGAACATATTTTTATTACTAATGAAAATATGAGCAGTTTGATGAGTATTTTAACTGTCGATTAGCTGAAATGTGGCATGACTGGTTCAAAGAAAATTGTTTGGCAGATATGCTGCAATTTTTATTTTATTTTAAGGACTTGATCAGAAGGAATGTGATATAAGTGGTCTTGAACACTCCTATGTGCAAATATTGCTTTACTCACAAATTTTTAGATTACTCCTTATCACAAACTGTTTATTATCTGCTTTGATTTCAGACATATTTATGAAGAAATTGATCCACACCTCTTCAAAACACAGGTTAACATCAAGTGCTAGAAGCAGATGCCAATAGCAATATTTTATTTAACAAAATGGTAGATTCTGATTGCTTCAAAATGTGTCATGTAAAGACAAAATCTACTCAGTAGGCTGAGATTTGAGATAAGTGTTTTATAAAACTGTTCAAAATAAGACACTTCAAATCTAAGGTGTGTATCCTACACACCCTACCTAGGTACATTGCATTGGGTTCAACTCTCACTTCTGCAATCTTTGGATCCAAATCTACAAAACTTTCATTCTTATAGCAAGTATAACACCCAGAATCTTGCACCCAAAAGTAGATTACTTTTATAGAATTCTTCAATAATAAAAGCAAAATCTTTTCCTATAGGAAGAACTACACTGGATATTGTTGAATAATTGATTGATATCTGATAGAACTGTTTATGATCCTATTCTTGAGTGTTGGATGGATGACTATACCTATAGAGGCCCAAGTTCAAATCCAAAATGTTGAATATAAGGAGAGATCTAGCTATTAATTAAACCCTGCAGTCAGATTTCCCAGCAGGATGCTTGGTAGGAGAGACCTTACAGTTTGTCTTTAATGTCGGTCTTTGGTGAAAAATAATCACTACTAGGAGGTTGAAGTTAGATTTCCTTGAAGTACATATCCTATTCTTTAGATAGTTAGCCATTCTAACACTTTTCTCAGTTATGGAATGCACTTTAAAAGCAAAAGAAAGTATGCACGAGCCACTGCAAAACAGAGCATATGAATCTGTAGCAATTGCGACATGCTGTAGTAGCAGGTCTTGTTCCACATTGTCTTAATGCAGTTTTATCTGTTTTCCTGGATTATTTCATTCTCTCTTAACAATGAAGCTAAATATGTATGAAACAGTAGTTTTCCTAAGTTATGGAGGGTTGCATTGGGACCTGCTCCAAAAAAAGCACTGCCAGAATGCATGGGCCCAGCAAAGTATAAAACATGCATTGTGGGGTATTTGGAATGATTTTTATTATATTCACATTGTTACTTTCTATTATTCCCAACAAATCAGGATATCTTGAATAACACTTACTTGGTCATGAGATCATATAAATGTGTGATTGAAATAAGTGCCTTTTCACTATACTTTCCCAGATCTAGTGTTCAAACCTTTAATAAATTAGTACCCTTTAAATTAGTCTTGAGTGATATGTATAGCATCATTTGTTTTACAATGTATTAACATACAATCCAAGTAAAGAATCTGGAATGGAAAACTGAATTAAATTAGAACACAAATGCTCTCAAATGTTTTTGTATGGTTAGCTTGTTTTTTAAGTAAAGTTTCGTGATGCATCAGATCCACTCTACCAGATTTGCTTTGTACTGTTGTGGGATCTTCCATAAATATTAAGGAGATGCATAGGGAAGAGCAGGGAAAACACAAAAGTAACAAATGTTATTTTCTGGGCAAATGAGCTTTACAACAACATTGTTAAACCTATAAAGATTTTATATGGGGGGAAAGGAAATCTTCCACCCCTCTTTTTTCCATTGATTTCCACCACACAGTAGAATTTGGGATAAACAAATCATTTTACATTTGTAATGTAGTATATTTTAGATATTGTTTGACACCATTTTCATACTACTATACCCTAAGAGTGATATTAATTTCTTTTGGGAAAGCAGTTTGTCAAGTTGTTCAAGGCAGGGATCTAATCAGATTTACTGAAGTTAAAATCCCATGTTAATGGAATCATTTTCTCAACCCACCTACCTCTAAAAACAGATCTATTTAGGAGGAAAACAGCACCATCTTCCACACTGAAAATATGGTGCAACATATTTAATATGGTTATTGGATTTTAATCCATTTTCTGAGTTTGTAGACTGGATTTGTGCAACATGCTAAGGGTACCCTAAACTTAGCATGCTATACAGATACAGCTATTCAAACCTTTATTGACCTCGTTATGTGTTACCAAAGTAATAATGAAAATAGAAAGAAAAGAATCAAAGTATAATTGTATTATCCTGAAGAACTCAAGAGGAAAGGTTTAAGTGGGGATACTTATGGGATGCATAAAAGCAGCATTTTTTTAAAAAAAAGTTGTTTTTATTAGTTATTCTTCATTTATTTTGGCTTGTGGGTAACTCATGAAAAATGAGAATGTAGCTTTTAGCATAAAAAGCTGCTGCACAGAATGACTGAGTTTTAACACAATACACTGAATAATAGTGCACACTTATTTAAAACAGCGTACAAAACTTACCAGATTTGTGCTGCTTCTGATTTAAGGTAGGCAAGTAAAGTCAAATCTAGTATTTATTACTTTACTGATTTACTTATTACTTTATTAGGCAGACATCAGATCTCCAAAAATAAATTATTTACTATTTCCCCTTTGACACATTAATCTAGTAAGTAACATTTTAGATAACTCTGGAATGGAAATTAAAAAAAAAAACTTTATAAAATGACAGCCATAAATTAGCAATTGGATAGATCCTCCTGTAAATGAAAGAGACAGAAGTAAACAAAATCAGCTGTTTCCATTTCTTTGTATTCTTAATTTGGTTTTAAAATGAAGATTAATCACATCTCCAAAGAGAAGACACATCAGTGCATATTCAGGAAATAAAACATAATGCCTGAAATATTCAGCATCTTCCTGGGCTTAAAGTAGTTACTTTTACATAGTCAGTGGAGTATCAATAGAGTACTGAAGAGAGAACTCCAATGTAGAATCTACATATTGTACTGTTAATTATAACCTGGAAGCGGTGGTTTATATCCTATTTTGGCTTCAAAAAAAGTGTAAGAAAGAGTAATGTAATTAACTCTCTCCATCTTTGGGTCTTCTACAAATTCAGGATCAATGAAGAAAAATACTGGCATGTCCACTTCCTCATGAGGATTGAGTCTTTGTTCTTCAAAACAAAAGCACTGAAAGAAAAAAAAGTTTTTTTTCCCTAAAATTGAATAATCAGCTAATTTCTTTTTATGTTTTGTCTTAACCTTTAATTCAATACATTTTTTTAAAAAAAAGATTAAAATATCTATTTTCAAACTCACCGTGTCAAGTAATTATTTTATACATTTTAAAATTCGTCTAAATATAAAGCATTTAAAGAAATAACATCAAAAACTAAGGAATACTGGTGAACATACTGGTTTTATTCATATTTCAGGGAAAACTGAGCATTTTGAACTATTGGAAATCTCATGTTTATTATGCTATAGAAAAGTAAGATAGCAATCCTTAAAGTAAAAAAAAATGAAATTATACAGAATTCAAGAGGACAAGAGTAAGACGTATTGAGAGCATACCATAAATCTAATTCTGCAAATATGGATTATCAAAACAGATTCTAGTTTAAGTTATAAATATTTGGGGAACTTAACCAAACTGAGCAGCACTTACCTGTATCTTATTGAAATATTGTCCAGCCTCAGGTGGTAGTACATTGTAGGTAGATATTCCAATTATTGGTCTATCAGTGGGATTCTTTGCTTTATAAAAGGCCAGTGCAGTTTCTCCTGGAACCACCTATTTTAAAAAGTTACAACTGTTATGTTTTTAGATTCTTCCCGTACTTTTTTTTCCTTGCAAAATGGGTTTTCAACAAAGTCTGTGCACCAAGTTACATTAAAGCAGTGTTTCTCAAAAATTATCTCAGAATTCTGACAGTTGGTGTCCATACATCTTTAAATCTGTGTTGGGGTTGAAAAATATAGCATTAAAGGCTCCATAATTTGAGGTGGACTATCTCCATTGGCATTGTATTTCAAATATTTATAAAAAGCCATTTCAGATTAAAGAAATTAACCAGAATTTGGTTCACTCTAATACCAATGACAGACCAAGACTACATTTTCTGATTAAACTGCACAGTGGTACTAGGATTTAACCTGGTTGCCATTTATATTTGTTGGTAGCATAAACTTAATTCTAAAATTAATTTTGCTAACAGAAATTAGTAAATCATAATTTATTGTTTGATTGTATCCCATTTACCTAATTGAAAAGGAGCCTCTTAACTACAAATTCTCAGTTGGCTACAACTACTCACATTCTTGATTATTTTTATAAGAGCAGTATGTCATTTTATTGTAAAAATGCTTATAAAAATTCATGCAAAATTCACCCAGCAGATTTTAATTACTTACATAAACTTCAGTCTGCTGAGGCTTGAAGTTCCACTGAAGACTTGAATGTACATCTGAATTGAATGTGACTTTAATGATGCGGTCTTTTACAGGCTCCATAGTCTCAATCTGCTCTGAACTATGACCATCTAAAGCTGACCCACCAAGCCCAGTAGCCTGAAAGGAAAATAAGCTGAAATTAAAAACTAATTAAAAACAATTTATTTTCATGGCAATAAGAACAGAGCAGGTTTTTTTTTTCCATTAGAGATTGTTTACTTAAAATTAGCAACACTTACTAGAGCTGTGCAGTGCTTTAGATTCAAAGGCAAAAAGATGCCTCAATGTTTGCAAGGATGCTCATGTAATATTTCTCTGCAGCTCCTTAAAGCAGCTGTTGTCTTTTCTCAGGATCATGCAGTTCTCTTCTGTAGTTGCAGCTAGATCCTGGGAAAAGATGAGTTTTGTTTAAGTAGTTGGAGAGAGGAGCAATGTATACATCCATGAATGCTTCAAAGCAAGTTTCTGAATCTGAAGTACTCCACGGCAATAAACTGAGCAGCAGTTATGGGTTCTCTTCCCCCCCCCTCCAAAAAAGTGTCGTGGTTGATCAAAAGATTTATCTGTGTCTTATTCTTCAAGGAGACTAACTAAATACTAATGAGGACTTCACAAGAAAGATATTAAGTACACTAAGGAAATTCATATGTGCACTGCATCTGTTATTAGAGATAATATATAATTACCACAGTTCTCCCACCTTCATAAAACTAAAATCCCCTTACAAAACTCGCTGTCAGCAGATAAGCACTTTCATGTAATGGTGAAGTTGTTTCAGTAAAACTGGCAAGAATGGAAGCACTGAGTAAGTTGTTGCTGAACAGTTAAAAGTGGAAAGAATAAATTGTTTTAGACAAGAAATGCAAACATAAAAAACAGAAGAAAAGAACAAACCATCTCTATATTGGTACCAAGACAAGCATATGGACATGGCTGGAACATTTAGACAAATGGTGGTGGTGCCAGATATTGAGAATCCCTTTGTTCCAGAAGTTATAAAATAGTTTACTAATTGAAGAATACTGAATTTTCATATAGAGATCTGGATGTGATGATGTAATCAGATTGAAGCTAGAAGGAAAGGCCAGTAAAATATTATATTCAAATGTCCATTCAATTTGAATTTGCCATTTGAGTCAAATTTGACATCACTCTGGTCAAAAGTATAATAAAGGTATCTCATATAAATTATATAAATTTGTTGGTCTGGATTATTTTGGGTACAATAGACTTTGTTAAATTGAGGTGAAATCTGGATGTAGTTTAAGTTTATTATTTGAAAACTACTAAAGTTGTTAAAACTGAAATGTTACTATCCAGTGGTGGGATTGAAATGTTTTTACCACCAGTTCAGTGGGCGTGGCTTGGTGGGCACACTATGTACGTGTGCACACACTGTGCGCGCATGCCAAATGCATACTTTGCGCAGGCACAGAGGCGTTCTAACTCACCTCCTGCAAGCCTGCACGATCCCGGTCGCTTCATCAGCTGCCATGCAGCACTCTTCTGTGCCGCACAAAGCAGCTGCGCTTCAAATTCAGAGGATAAAGGTGAGTATGGGAGTCCAGGCGGGCAGGTGGGCCCAACAGCAGAGCAGTGGAGAGAACCGGTTTGGTCTCCGCTGCTCATCGCTGCTTACCAGCTCTGCAGAACTGAGCCGAACCGGTAGAATACCACCACTGTTACTATCTGAAGGAGTTCTTCCCTTTACAAGGAGATAAACAATTGAAAACATGAAAAGTGTGATACATGATCAAGGAAAACTAAAATTGTCAAAATAGAAAAAAGTACTAAATTAGGGGGGGGGATAGAAAGTGGCAAAAGCCAAGAACATTGGGGATGGTTAAAAGAAAGTACAAATGGAAAGTGCTGAGATAATTAGAGGTTTGGCCCAAGGTATGTTTGACACCAAGAACATTAATGGAATAGCTAAGCAATTAAGGAGAAGTAGGGAATGGAAAGTACTAGGAAAATTGACAAGTGAGCTGACCCACTTGCAGTAGAAGGAAGGGACAGACATACCAGCCTTGTCCTATTTGCTTCAGATTTTGTTTCAGCTCAAGCTTTGAATAACCAAAATGTTCAGATTTCAGTTCTACCAAATACAGTTTATCCTCAATGTATATTTATTATACTGCACAAATGCACAAATTATTTAAATCATGGCACACTGATGTTTTGCTTAAGATTTTATTTTAAAAAGGACTATAGAGAGAAAAAATAATGCAGGAATACAGTATCTTAGAAAAGGCAGGGGAGCATGAGATAGAAAACAAGATGGATAATGGAGCAACATTTACCTCTGATTTAGAATATTAACCATAAAGAGGCCTTAGAAATGGCAAGACCATGGAATTTTACCAAAGCCAATGGATGTCAAAGCAACCTGTTATTCTTTTGAAAAATCTTTAAAGTGACAAAAACCACTGTAAGAATTGAAGTTAGAAAAAGGGGTTAGATCACAACAGGGAAGGGAAAGAGACAAAAAGACATATGTCTATTTCATGTGTTCAGTATACATACAGAGTGGGACTGGAAGAAGGGATCAATATACGTCAGTGCCTGCTATACACCTGATTTGCAAATGCAAAAGCAAAAATCAGAACACCCAAAATCCAGGTCGCTACTCAATTTTAAGTCAACGGTAACGTCGACTATCACACCCACATGTACTCGGGAGTTAACGGGAAAGACCTGAAGGTCATGCGTTTGTTTCCTTGTGCACAAACACAAATAGACAGCGTCTTTAGATAAAAGCAATTGGGAATAATAAATTTAGACAAGATCGTGAAGAATGAGGACACCCCAATAACAAGGAAGATCAGAAGTTTTAGCAGTTAGCAACCAGTACCTAAGATCGCCGCTTTATTCTCGCATCACGTATCATGGACCACAAGAACTACCCCCGATCTCGCCCCCTAAAACACAGTAACCCTACGGGGCATTGTCGACTGAAGGCAGACTCTAAGCCCGCCTCCTCCTACTCCCTAGCCCCCCCGACTGCCCCTCACCTGGCAATAAAGGCGATAGAGCGGCACGGCTGCGTAGGATAAGCCTGCCATGCCCACGACCCCGGCCGCCAGATAGGTGAGCACCGTCCTGTTGCGCTCCTTCCATTGCTGCTCTTGCTCCCGGCGAAAAGCAGCGACAGGCTCGGCGCTCTTCTCGCGCTGGTCCCTGCGGAATTCCTGGCTGTTGCCACGGTAACAGAACCTAACCGGCTTGCAGCCCCAGGCTCCCAAAGTTCGGGCCACCAGCACGCAACCCTTTGCGCCCAAACGCATACTTCTTCCTGTCACGTGAGCACTCCTTTTCTCTTTGGCTGCCTTTCGCAGGCAGAGCGCGATTAGCAACTATCGCGAGAGGTACCCAAGGTCGAACCCGGCGGTGGCGTCGCTTTGATGCTGGCAAAACTTCCAGCGCTGGGGTAAGAACGTTCTGACTACGGCGGCCGTTAGGGGGTAAGTTTGCGTTTGAGTTACCTGCCGCCTCTTTGCTCCGCCTCCGAGCGATGCTAACTTCCTCAGGAGCGATGCTAACTTCCCGCCAAGGTTGCCGGTGCTGGGTTTTTAAATTCAGATCTGGGGTTTTCAATCCTTGTTGGGTTTTTAGGTTTTTTTATTTTAAAATTTAATTAATGAAGTCTAAGTTTTTTCTATACATTATGTTATATTGTAGGTATTAAGTAGGTGAAGACAATTTAGTTTAAAACGCATTTATGGTGTGTTTTGGCACCTGGTCTTTTTTTTTTTTTCCTGTAGAATCTGGGTTTATCTGAGCAGGACCCTGGCAACCCTGATAAATAGGTAAAAATAATTTAGTTTAAAACTGATTTATTGGCTCTTCTGTTATCTTTTTTAATGTGGAATCTGGATCTATTTGAATATAGCATTTTAGGATTTTTGTTTTGTTTTGTTATTGTAAACTCCACTTGCAACCCTGCTTCCTGCAAATTTTAGGTGCCCCAGGCTAAGCTTCAAAAAAGGACTGATGCACTGCAGACTTGTTGATTATCCAGACACACCCCCTGGAAATCATGGGAAAGCTCTGGCCTTGAATGCAGTCTAAGGGTTAAACTGTTTTGAAAGTTTCAAACTTCATTAGGAATCAAAGGAGTTGATATGTACATCAAAGGACATGAGCAGGATAAGGGAACTGGACTTGGGGAGACCAGCCTTTAGCCACCACAAAGCTCCCTGTGTGACCTGAGACTAGGCAAAGTTTTTCAACTGACCTATTCTCAAGGTTGCCTTGGGGATAAAGTGGGCAGCAGGTGGAGCTGTGCTAGAATGCTGCTTTGGGTTTCTGAAAGACAATTTTTTAAAGAACTCCAATTGTTCTTTCCCGTCATATTGCTTAATTAAGTACACAGTACAAGTAGTCCTGGAGTTACTACATAATTGAGCCCCAAATTATGTGGCTAAGTGAAACATTTGTTAAATGAGTTTGCCCCATTTTACTCCATTGACTTTGCTTCTGCAGAAGGTCACAGAAAGGGGATCACATGACCCCAGGACGCTGCAAAGGTCATAAATACGAATATGAATTTTGATTATGTCACCATGGGGATGCTGCAACAGTCATAAGTGTGAAAAATGGTTTTCAGTGCGGTTGTAACTTTAAACAGTCACTAAATGAGCTGTTGTAAGTCGAGGACTACCTGTATTAAATGGCACACAGCATTACTTTTTATTAATTTATATCCCACCTTTTTATTTTTATAAATAAGGTGGTGAACATGCCTAATACTCCTTCCTCCTCTTATTTTCTCCACAAGAACCTATGAGGTGGGTTGGGCTGAGAGTGATTAGCCCGAAGTTACCCAGCCAACGTTTCATGCCTAAGGTTGGACTAGAACTCACAATCTCTTGGTTTCTAGCCTTGTGCCTTAGCCACTAGCTCAAACTGACTCTTATTGGTTGCTATCTGTAGTCTAGTTTGGCAGGGACAATATTACATTCAAACTAAGAAGTACAAACAATTGCGTCCATCTGCCATCCATTCAAGGTACATTCTGCACATACATATAAATGTTGATCTGGAATGCAATCATAGAAAAAGTGTGGTAGCTAATAAAAAAGGAGATCAGCATACTAGCTGGCCAGTTTGCTGGCTTCCCCAGGCAAGAATAGATGTGGGAGTGACTCTGTTATTGGAGGGTGGTTGTGATTGCAATTGGTACCCCTATTTAAGGCGGTTTTCATTGGAAATAAGAAAAGTCACCTGATCTCTGCAATGATTGGCTAGGAGAGATATGTCAGGAAGTACAGAATAAGCCGTTCCAGTATAAAAGGGACCATCATTTGGATGCCAATCCCCATTTTTGGCTCTACAGCTTCCATCCTGGGTCTTGGTGGCCAAGATTGTTATTGTTCTCAGTCTCCTAAAGATGTGGGATATTTTATTTTTAAACTAAGAAATATTCAGTAAATTCAATACCAGCTGTATCAAGCAAACTGTCAAAGAATGTGTGTCTGCATTGGTTTGAAGGCAACCCATTGTAATTGTGCATATGGTGTTCTTTTCTGCCTTACAGCAAAGGGTCAGTTTTAGTTGTGATCCTGTTGGAATATTCCATTATTAATGACATTTGTTGACAGAGATGGCATCCCCAGACTCAAATCACCCTGATATGTAAGTCATATCTATATTAATGTTAGCATGGTACATCTAGTTAATGCAAACATAACGAAAGAAATGTGCTTTCAAACATGTTACAAAAAGATGCATACATTACTGTGTTCTTACATACTGAGCTAATAAGATTCCAGAGTCATGTGTTCATCTTTTGTGCCTACTAACAGTAAATAAAGTAAAACACCAATAAAAGAGAATATATGTCATTCAGAGCTGAACTATGGAGTCATTGGTGCCCTGTGAAGCTTCAAAAAAAATAAAATTCACAAGGGAATAAGAAAACAACACAATATCCTTCCTGGATATCATTTTCAGCAGAAAAAATAATGGAAAATTAAAAACACAACCCTGTTTAAAAACAACCCACAGTCACCAAGTGCTCCATTACCAAAATAATAGTCCAATCTTCCACAAGGGTAGCTGTGCAGGAATTATTATTCAGAGGAGATAATGGAATGTGTGGATAAGAGATGCTGCCTAGGAAACAGTAAAACAAAAGTCACAAGAGCTGCCAGTGGCTTAACAATCAGAAAGAAATTTAGAAATGACCTGCTCTAATCATCTACAATACGTGGTGGCTGTAACAATTACTACATAGGACAGATAGGCAGTAGACTAGTAGAGCACATCCATGAACATCAACCAGCTGTAAGAAGACACAGTGAAACTGGGAAACGGAGCATCCTAGATCAAACCAAATCCAAAAATGCTGAGAGATTCCTGGAAGGCTGGCATTCAGATAAATCAGACATCAATAGACACATAGAAATACAGCATATTTATACATCATTCAGAACAGAAGAAAAAACTAAGAAGGAAACAAAAAGTCCAGCACACGTCCTCTCCAACAGCCAATCCCCACATAAGCAGCAATTAATGCCAGGGAAACAAGCAGAAAACAATATCATACTCAAAGAATTAGCAAGGAGAAAACCTCTTTCCGATCAACACTGGCAGGGCAAGCTACTACATATAAACAGAGAGCAAAACCCACACCTACACTGATGATGTTAACTAGTTGGATAATTAAATCTCTGCAAGCAAACAACCAAGTTCAGAGAGCACCAAGGATTCCAAAGTAAAATACATGTTATGGTGCTGTCTGCCATTCCACTTCTTGGTATCTTGTATCTGTGGAACCTCCACAGTGTATCTTGTATGTCTATGGGTATTCTGAAATATTGCTGCATCCTTCTATCAGTAAAAGTTGATATTTTACTTGCAAGTTAATTAGAACACACAGTTTGCCAGTACCAGAATGCTAACCACTTTCTCAGCATTATCTTCTCATTGCAGAGCTTTGAAAAAATGGTAAATAGGTAGAATAGATTAGAAACCTAAGCAATGTGTCAATAATCAAATCTAAAATCTTAACTTGAAGTGTTGGGAAAAAGAAATAGGCATGCTAAAGTAGATGAATCTAAGCATTCTGGGTGATAAAGAAATATGAAGTATTTAAATTCATTATTTTAATCTTTGCATGCATCAGTATTGATTCCTGGCAATTTCCTGGACATGTCCCTTCAATTCTGTTGGCAAGATTTCAGAAATGGTTTGCCCTTGCCTGCTTTCTAGAGCTGAGGAAAAGCGATTGGCCTATCACCCAGCTGACTTCATGCCTAAGGCAGGATTAGAACTCACAATCTCCTGGTTTCTAATTTAGTGCATAAACCACTACACCAAACTGTCTCTCATGCATAAGATATATTGACACTGTTTACCTCCTTCATATGCAAATGTAAGCACAAAGTTTTAACCATTGACAGCTAAAATAATCCAGTGTGGTTGCAATTCTGGAGGAACAGTTTTGAATGGAATCAGCAAGAATTTTGACTCAGAATCAGAAGATAAATAAGTAGCTAACTGTAACTTGTGTTGATGCCTAGCATTGTGATTCAGAATGTAAGGATTTAGTTGGTAATTTGTCTATAGGAACATATTAGAAAATAATTGCCTTGTGATATCATTCCAAATTTATCCTCCTGTCTTCTCCTGTGCCACTGTGTACATGATTTAGTACAATTCTGTACTAAACATGCATTGCTAGTCCTTTAGAACAACCTTCTAGTTTATTGCGGGGAGGCTGTTACATACAACAAATAAAATGTTGCCAGATAAGCAGGTTGCAACTACAGCGTGCATTTGTGTACTTTCCTCACTTTTTCACGTTCACTCTTCATCCTGTTTTCGTATTTTTACAAAAATCTCTAGTAACAGTCCAAGATGATTTACCTCTTCCTATCTTTCAGCTTAAGTCTGAAAGGTTATAGAGAAGACAGAAGTGACACCTGTGCACTAAATAGCATTTTTACAGATCAGCGTGATGACAGGTAGCTGACAGCGTAGATCAGAAGTACACAAGAGTGTC